CTATCTGAGCCCTAACTGTAGTGGCTATGCCCGTCTGTCTGTCTCTTTTTTACTAGTCTGAACATATTCTGGCTTTCCTGGTATTTGCTTTAATTTTCTTGATAGAGTTTCATGTTATATCCCCAGAGTGTGCAGTGCATGGCTCTCTCTGCATAATTACATGTGAAGTGTGTGTTTGTGTGTGTGTGAAGATCCACAGGAAGGAGTTGTGGTGCTGCTACCAGCAGAGTCCCAGCAACAAATGGTGCAGCTCCTCTACTTCCTTCCCAAGATGTCTCAGTCTCTTCTGGCCAATCTGAGCTGCTGCTGCACCGCTGGACGGATTTCTGCTGGCCTTGCTGCCTCTCTGATTCGTATCATACACCTTAGGTGAGCTTTAAAACCCCTACACACCTGCGGAGGCCACATGAACTCAATTTTATTGGCATATGGGTGTTATGAGAGATTTTAGAAAGCACAGCAATGCCCTTACATTTGGACCCAAACAGTTAAAACTTATTGGGTAGCACACTCCTTGCACCATCAGATGGCAGTATTGCACTTTCACAGATGAGCTCCTGACATTTCTATCTGGTTTCTCACCTGTCTATTGGCAGGTGCTGATGTGGATGCCCTGTATATTTGATATTTAACTTAGTGGTGATAATAAAAGCTGTTTTTTTTTTTTTTTTTAATATATTCTGTAACACCCACACCTTACCTTTGTGTGTCTGACCTTTTGCTCGTGTCAGTGGGGCAGTGTTATACAAATTTTGAGCGGAGGGAGTGCTGAGTTCATATGGGGTGTGTGTGTGTGTGTGTGTGTGTGTGTGTAATGGGTATGATACAAAGAGCTCTTTGGGAAACAGGAATGCAGAGTCGTCATGGAGTATTGAGAAGACCGTTCTGTCTGCATGTGCCTCCCGGGCTTCACAAAACACTTGTTATTCACTCACATTTCTTACTGTTACATATCTATCCTCCCCTCAAAAGAAGGAAGGAAGAATCTTTTATAACTATGTATCCGTGCACTCTATGCTCTTACAAAACACAGCATTATGAATCATTCGATGAGATGTGATAACGAATATATAAGCAGAAAAATTGGGAAATTTGGAAATGAATGTAGCGATAAGTGTGTCCAAAAAGTGTAAAATGGAAAAGCAAAAGGTTGCACAAATTACAATCTGTAAAAAACGTTTGATCTTCTGAAAGATGTGGCTTTCCAGCTTTAAGTTGAACGCAGATTCTTGCGCCGCCAGTTGTGTAACGTGTTCACTGATTATGCTCTCCAGGTCATCGCTGAGTAGCTGGTCGGTTGGGAGCCAGGAAGCGGCTCTGCAGGACGTGGACTACATCAGCTTCCTGTTCTCCACCCTGACGGGCTTCTCGTCCGACAAGCTCACCTCCCTGCAGGAGGCCGGCGACGAGAACGCTTTGCCTCCCTCCCCTCTCTCACCCCTCAGCCTCTACCCGACCCCGCTGGAGCAATTCACACACCACTGGGATGTTGTTGAGGTGCGTTCACTGCACACGGTCTTTCTTACCGTTACTTCAAACCTCACATACTACATTGCAACTCTTACCAATGTCGCAGCCTAACAGAAACACTTGAATCCAGAAGGGACGGAGACTAGGAGGTTAAGGAAGAGGAAGAAAAGACATTGTTTTGAAAATTGAAAAGTGTTGATATTCTGGACACAGTTATGGTCTTTCAGTCCCCCCCTGGTCCCTCTCCGTCTCTCATATAGAGCTCAGAGGGTGGAAGCTTTATCGTGGCACTCCGGCTGAGAGGGGAACCTTTATCGCGTTGCGCAGGTTGGAGATGCGTGGTTATCGGGCATAGCGGATATGCACAAATGCTAATGAGAGCCCATGGCATGATGGGAGTGTGACATTTCTGCACAGAAATTACAGTTAACGTAACTATGCCCCGGGGCAAGTGTGTGTGAGTGTGTGAGCAAGTGGGGGGCTTATAATCACTAATTCAGCTCCTCAATTAAGCCCTCAGATCCTGCCTCTCTCATCTCCCTGTCTGAGTCAATCACAGGCAAGTGGCGGGAAGGAGGAGGGAGGGGACACGTAGTGGCAAAAGGGGGGGGCAGCATTAAGGGACGGACTGTGTCAACTCTGGTTCGACTAATGAGACAGGATTGTTTTTAATGACGGCGAGAATGCCAACAGGTGCACCTTTCTGACACACACTGGCTCGCACCCACTCCCGCACTTCAGCGCGCACACACACCTCAATTTGATAAAAGCTAATGAGAAATTTGATTTGGATTTGAAGTTAATGAGGAAAAGCTGAGCCTTGTTATTCACTTTTCAAAAGTTTGGCGGCTTCTTAGGCCTGAAATCCATCTTGTCTTCAGTGAAGACGAGATTCCAGCATGAATGAAATTTTGTTGTTTAGTTTTCTTTGTTGAAGGCATGATGAAGAAGTGAAGGCCTCTCTTCATCCAGACAGGAATGTAGAAATACTCTGGTATGCTTTCTTGTGTCCTAATTCTCCATTTATTTTTAGCAGCAGTGTGGTTTGTCTGATAAAGTATTTTCTTAATTTGCTCTTTAATTGTCTGTCAGTAATATCATGACTGCTATTTCATTTCACCGCCCTGTCATTGTTTTTTGAACAATGTTTAAGAAGATCGATCCACACCTGGGAATGACAATCATTTGGAAACAGGATTTGGGTCAATGTATTGCTTACTCCTAGAATTGTGACAGAAACATAAACTTATGCCATGTTTTTAGCGTAAATTGTGCATTATTTGATACACAAAAGAATCTATACTTCACAGCTCTAGTAGTCATAAGAAATCAAGGCATTGTGTAGTTCTCCCTCTGGGACTTTTTTTTTTTTAGAAAAATATCCCTTATATTATCCAATGCAGGCAACGATTTCAACAGAAAATTAGACCAGAAAACCTTTCAGATCTTCCAACTGAAAGCACAATGCAAGGTTTTTTTTTAAAACATCATGGTTACATTTTATTGCTAAAATTAAATTCTATGGAAAAAGCACATTTGTTTGATGTTAAATGATCTTTTCGTTTGATTCATAGGAAGTGTGTCACAGTCTGGAAACTCTGGGTTCAAAATCTCAGTGCTTTGACATCTTGCAAAATGGCATCTGCAAATATCTGGTAAGAAACTGTATTTATTCAACAGGAAAATTACATTAAGGATTTCTCAATCTTAGTTGGTTTTGTTCTTGTTTTATTCCTTGAACCGCCTTTCTTTATGTGTTACTGCTGTCATCTTTATTTGAAAACATACTGAACGGCTTCCGTGTGTGTCTCAGACCAAGTTAGGGCTGGTGCCTGACAGTATGGCGGCGGGGCTGCTCAGAGCTGTATCCAGATTACTGGACTTGTCCGTCCTGCCCATTGAGCCTGTGCTGCGCTTCTTGTCTCAGTGCTGCCTCAGCCTGCTGGCTCTGCTCATCACCCTGCAGCAGGAGTTACCTGCTGAAACCAACCACAAAAGGTGTGTGTAATGACTACAACATAACGTAATGTCCACAGGATCAGTCATTGTCTATGTGAGCAGCCATGCAATGCATTTAATATGCATTTTTTATATCGGTACATTTCAGTAGAAAAATATTTGATTTCATTGAGATTTGCATTTACATCATGTGAACACTTTCAACCAGCTGGTGCTGCATAACAAAGCTCAAGACAGACCTGTAACTGGTTGATCTAGTCTGGCACCACACCCATGATTGTTTTAAAGTGTATCTTTATATTATGATCTCATGGTGATGTCCTTAACAAGGGCTCTATAGCTCAGTGGTTAGAGCACTGGTCTTGTAAACCAGGGGTCGTGAGTTCAATCCTCACTGGGGCCTAATTATTGTTTCTTTTTTAATTCGTAGTGGCCACAGACAACCAGTAAAATTATTAAGAACTAATTAAAAACACTAAGACAGAGAAATTGTCCAATCAGGTGTAGTCAAGAAGTGTTTACGTGGTTGTAATGGGGTTGTAGCCTTTTGTCAGTCAATATAACTACAAGCATCCAATGCTGGGAAGTGGCGCGACCCCTCGCATCCAAAAAAACCCCCTCGACACGTACCATTACTGATCTGTGTTTTGAAATGATCTCCTGTTGATAGGAGATCTTGACCTTAATAGCAGTTTGCAGTTTGCATCATAAAGTGATGAAGATTTACAACAATTTGCGTCACATTTGCAGGGAGGCAATATGGGGTGCTTGTGTGTCAGCACTGAGCACCGTTCCTCGCCTGCTGCGAATGGTTCTGCAGTTGTTGCGTGTTGGAGATCTGAATGAGGAGGAGCTGCCACAGCTCGGGCAGATCCTGTCAATGCTGCTGCAACACGCGCCGCTCCACAACCATCTGCTGGCCAACGCCGGTCTGCTGCAGGATATCATACAACACCTCACGGTAAATACACCTCAGACATCAAATGGGATGGACTTTAAGGCTTCTGGGACGGAGAGATTAAGTCTGTTAACATCTCATGGAGGCTGTTCACCTGATGTCTGTGTCTCTGTGTGTGTGTGTGTGTGTGTGTTTCAGAGGTATTCCCGTGGTGCGACCAGGGAGCAGTGGTTGACAGACTTGCTCTACTGTTACAGTGTCACCATGGCTCACAGCTCTTCCGCTCGGCGTGGAAGTCTTGGCCTCCGAGACATTTACTGACCGACACGCCAATCAGTCTGACCTGGTGTGTTTGTCGGTTCACCCTCTCAAACATCTTACAGTAGCGATGAGTACATGCAAGAAAACTTTCACACAGGAATAAAGTGAAGTGTTTTTTTTTTAAATGTAAGTGACAATGACTTCTCCACATTCTTGTTTTGAGAGCTCCATTTTTTTTCTGTCTTAAGCTGCCTCTTTATTGCTTCATTCTTAGCCTGGTAATTGTCAGACTATTGTTGTTGCTGAACATTGTCCAGTGCTTACTGTGGGCAATTGGTGACTTTTGATTTAAAAAAACTAAACTAAAAATGAAAAAAAAAGGCAAAATAAAGTAAAATCCAAGTGCACTGCCTTTAGTGTCAATTTTTATTTCATTTTATTTTACATATTATAATAGAAACAGACATTGAGGTATCTAAAATTATACAATATGGATTATTTTTGCGCAAATGCATATTTATAGGAATGAAAACTGCATAGTTAAGAAATGCATATTTCTCTTGAAAGGGAAAGCACTTAGAGGGTGTGTGTGTGTGTGTGTGTGTGTGTGTGTGTGTGTGTGTGTGTGTGTGTGTGTGTGTGTGTGTGTGTGTGTGTGTGTGTGTGTGTGTGTGTGTGTGTGTGTGTGTGTGTGTGTGTGTGTGTGTGTGTGTGTGTGTGTGTGTGTGTGTGTCCGTGGCTGCAGGTGGGCTATCTGTATGACCGGCTGTTGATAGACTGCTTCATTCTCCACAACAGGAGGAAAGGTTATCTCAGTGTGTGTGCGAGAGCGATGGAGAGTGAGGGAGATGGCGTGTGTATGTGTTCCTTCCACAATGGATGAAAGGTTATCTTTTACACACACCATTTCTGTAGACTTAACCCCACCCCGTGAGGTCATGGCTCTGATGTCATATGGCTTAATTTTAGAAAGCTTGGCACATTGAGCGAACAATGTGTGTAGTAATTCTATAGAGGTAAGGCGGCCAGCCAGCTGAGAAAACATCAAAGAACATGAGGTGGGTGTGTGTGTGTGTGTGTGTTTCTCTCTTCAATGTTTTCCCCGGCCTCTGGTCCCCTGTCCAGCACTATGTGGTCTCAGGTGGTAAGAGTACTGCTTGGCTTGATTCACGGCATCAGTCAGGTGCACACAGTCTATACCGCTTACTGCAAAATAAGCACAAGAAATTGCCTTTTTTAGAGACTCTTACTTTATTAAAACTGCGTGTTTAAGTACGTACGTGCACTTACACTGGCTCTGGGTGCGTAATGGCATGTCCAGGAGCAGCTGAGACTGAGAGCCCCGAAGTGAACGCCCTCGTCTGGCCATAGAGTTGCCTAAAGGAAGTTAAAGAAAAATGTTTGGATGATATCTTTATTGAGATTTGCATTTACATCATGTGGACAGTTTCAATCAGCTGGTGCCGCATAACAAAGCTCAGGACACTCCTGTAACTGGTTGATCTAGTCTGGCACCACACCCATGATTGTTCAAAGTGTATCTTTTATATTATGATCTCATAGTGATGGCCTTAACAAGGGCTCTATAGCTCAGTGGTTAGAGCACTGGTCTTGTAAACCAGGGGTCGTGAGTTCAATCCTCACTGGGGCCTAATTATTGCTTTTTTTTATTCCTTAATGGCCATAAAAAACAACTAAATTATTAAGGAAATCCAATCACTTATTTAACACACTCCCAGGTATTCCAAAACAGGTCATTTTACATATTTAATGCTGTTTTGCATAAAGTTTGGTTTGTAAAATCTTATTTCATTATGCTGCAGGACAACGAGGAATCAACTTACAAGTCTAAAGTCGATCGCATCAAAGAACTTAAAAAAGGGTTTCTTGGTATCTTGTTTTATGTTATGAAGATAGCCTGGAACAGCTCTGCATTGCCACTCCAACGTTCTTTTTTTGTTTTGGTCATGGTCTATGGGCCAGGTTATGACCGTATGCGTCTAGTCTAGTGTTGGCGGAGCACAGTGGATATAGACAATTAAACTTTTTTTGTTATTTTATATCAACAAATAAAATCAAACTTGCCCACAGCTATTCTTTGACACATAGGTTTGTTATCTGTGATGCACTCTATCTCTGTATGTTACTACAGATAGATGAATACATATTACAGAGATACATTTGAGATTAAATAATTAACAGACAATTAAAAAAATATTTAATGATGATTAACAGAGCAGCGTGACCCAGTCCAGAGTTGTGTGTCAAATTTCTGTCAACTTCTTAAAAAAAAAAAAAGGATTGCAAGAATGAGTCTCGTGAATGTGTGTGTGGCACTGTGTATGTGTGTGTGTGTGTTTAGCAGATTGCTCTACGCAGTCGTCTGACATTCCCCTGACAGCTCTGAACTTTTCACAGTGCCAGGACTGTCAGAGAGCGAGGAGAGAAAGAGGTAGAGAGAGAGAGGGAGCTGAGGTGATAAGGGGGAGGGGAAAACCACGTCAGAAGGTTGGGCTGTGTTGGAGTGAGGGGTTTTGGGTGTGTGTGTGGGGGGGGGGTTGTATCTGTCTGTGAGCGGAGATGGCCTGCGTGCGTGCTTGTATGTTTTGGCGCAGCAAGGTTTCTGCCTGTTCTCCCATCATCACCTGGTGATGTGTGATGAAGGTCAGGCCTGTCTGTGTGGTGAAACCCTACTAGAGGTTCCACACAGCCAACCAGGCTGATACTGTCCTAGTGTGTGGACTGAAGCATCACCCAGACATTTACATGGGTTCCTGTTCACGGAGTTAGTCACTTACAGCGTGTTCTGCACTGGTATGACAACCATCCTGATTTCCAGCTTCTTCCTTTAATCTCACAAAATCTCAATCTGTTTCCAATGAGGGGGCTTTCATGTATTTTAAGAGCTATGTAATTTAAGAGCTTCACTTGAGAGGGTAGGCTCCCACCTTAAAGGGTAAATCAACACTAGAACATGTGGGGCAGGAAACTGCTGCTGTTGCACTGCTCTGTATAGGTTGCAACTTAAGGCAACGCTGCACACCTGCCCACACCCTAACCAATACAGGCTTTGTAACACTGACTGACATACAGTATGCTTGAAAGTTGATTTAAGGATAACACTGATATTCTAAATTTCTGTTATCACTAGCGAGGATGTAATGTATGTCAGCAGGGTGGTGTATGTGGGATTGGTTTAAAATAAACTACAGCGCCCGTGTTCATCGTAATGACGTTGATCATGATAATGTCACCCAGTACAACAGTGTCGCTCACTGAAGTGTTTTTAATAGCGCCTACTTGTTAGAAAGGATCAATTCATTTTTGTCCGTAAGAGTTGTTGTCCATAATGAAAATATAAAATATCACCAGACTTGTCCTTTAAAAAGGAGTGTGTAGGATTTAATGCATCTAGTGGTGATGCTGCAGATTATAACTAACAAAACCGTGCTCACGTCTGTAGCTGACCTGGGAATGAGATAGGGCTGTGAGGTGTGTAGGAGAAACTACGGTGGCTGCAAAACTCATGAAAGGACCTATCTACAGCCAGTGTTTGGTTTGTCTGTTCTGGGAAAATATACATATTACCCACGTTACATCTTGGACTGCAGTCAAATTCAGTCATATATGAGATCAAAATCCTGTCTTTGTAATATTATATTATACATTATATACAATATTATTCATTGTATTTGTATATTATATTATATTATTAGTCCAACGGTAGGGCTGGTTTGGGGACGGGATCTCTACTGGGAAAAGGGTGTGGGTTCCTCCAGATAATATCTTATTTTTTCCTTTCTCTTTCTCTGTGTGTGTAAGTATAATTTTGTTATTGTTAAGCTATTTATGTTTTTGTGTTGTTTGTTTCATTCCAACTACATTTGTTGATATCATGCATATACATATTAATACACCCCCACCCCCATTGCAATGCAGTGATCTCACCATAGATACTTTGCAGCACTGAGCTCTTACTCGTCGACGGTTTAATGGGTTGAGCTCGGACTTCCATCTTCTTCCTGTTATGGCCATGGTTTGAATCACTTGACTCCACCTCTTTGCGGGCCTTCACCTCTCTCCATCCGCGTGCGTGGAACCTGCAGACACACATCCATGCAAGCGCATACACGTGCACGCCATTCCATAAAAAAAAAAATGTCAGACAGTGTTCAAAGGTCTAAAAGCTGGCAAGTCCTCACACTAATACTCACTGAGCATAAACAAAGTAAACAGAGTTTATTCAAGGCAGTAAATAGGCAGCACATACAGAATATAATTGTGACGCTGAATGGAAACAGAGGGCCTCCTGTGGTGGACTGGCAGCCTCTAAGAGAAACACAGAGTGTGTAAGAGGGAGAAAAGCAAAGAGAGGCTGCTGGTAGCTATTAGAGCAGCATGGCTGAACTTTTAGCCTCTTGTTAAACCAGTATGAAAGCTCTAGATTATAGCCCGTCTGTCCCCTGCCTCCTTGTCTCACCCATCTCCCACGCACTCCCCCCCACTGCTCAAGTGTTGATGGCATCCAGACCGAATGTGGGGGGGGGGGTTACAGGAGGATGAGAACGGGTTGGGCATGTATGTGTGAGAGGGCACATGTGGGCACCACATGGCACTTCCAATCTCCAAGAGCCAGATAAGCTTCAGCTACCGAACCCCCCTCCAGGTACAAACACAAGTGCACACGTAAACTCACCTCCGCCAAGCTCGCTGGATGATGCGTGCAGCCTCGTTCATCGTCTGGCGCTGCTCTTTGTAGTGTTCCTTGTGTGTGCATGTTGAGATAGGTGCATGTGCGGCAGACTGAGTCTTTCTCGAAGGGCTTTTGTGGTCTAAAGATGAACTGCTTCTTAATGAGGGAGTGTGAGTTTGGTCTTTGGTGGTGGCCTTTTCTGAAGTCTGCTCTTTGTGGTTTCTGTGCTTTTGTGGAGAGGTGTGGGCATCAGTCTTGCTGGGGGCAGTCTGCACAGTCATGTGAGCGTCCCCCTTTTTTACAGGGATGCGTTCTCTTGTAATAGTGTCCCATTGGTCCGTCGCAGAGACGCTTATGGAAGAAGTGCATGTGTTTGATGAAGGTCGTTCCCTGACTTTAGGCATGGAGGGGGGTCTGGGTTTGAAGCTGGGTGGCTGACTGCAGCTGGCAGGAGAGAGAAGTTCCTTCAGCCTGGTGGTCTGGGAGGCACCAGGCACAGTGTCACTGGTCACATGAGAGTGGCGGCTCAAACCATCAGCAACCTCATGTGGTTCGGTTGCTTTACTTCTTCTGGAGGATCTGCTCTTGTGGGCTGGTTAAAGAAATAAAGGAAGAAAATAAAGAAAACATGAGATTTACAAGAGGTTTCTGCTTTATGTGGTTTTACTTCTAGAATGCAGTTTTGTTTTTCAATAAATATATTTATCTTGGAGTTATTTGTTGTTAAAATGTTATTTCATTTAATGTTATTTTGTTTAATCAATATCACAACTAGTATTAGCCTCTAATACTAACACATTATAATTCCCTATACATCAGTTCAAACTGTAAGAATTTATGCATATCTGTACCTTTCAGCCTCTCCTCTTTGCTCTTAGTGCGTTCAGCTTTGGATTTCTTTGTCTCCACCATTGAGTCATTCATGGATAAGTCCTCTATAATGTTGACTAAAGAGGTTTTTTCCTGCTCTGTTCTCCCCAAAGGGACCCTCCGTTTCTCTGCAGTGGCCACACAGACTTGCTGCACAGCTTCTCTCCTCCGCTGTTCTTCCTCTCGTTTCCTGAACACAAAGAAAAGCAGCCAAATTGAATTGTGTTTTGTCTGAAATTCACCACATGAACAGCCAAGGTCAAGGTGGAAAAACAAATGTATTGAGTTTATTTTAAATGTATGGACATTCTTTAAAATGATGTGCATAGGGGTTAATGCACATAAAAACTGACCAGTTCACAAAGGCAAAACCAAGACAACACCAGATACCCTTTCTGTGCAAAAACAGCTTTTTAGTTGTGGACTAGTAGCAACAACTAGTAACATGTTTTATGCATTTGGTCACAACCAACTAGGATACAAAGGCAAGATGTGGTAGAATATTTTGAGGGTACTAAGAAAAACATCTATTCAATAAAACCACCCGCTTGAAGTTACAAGATAAGTTGAAGCCAATGTGCCCTCTTAAAACAAATTCTCCCCTTGTAAGGCAAATAAAGGTGAGACTGGTGAGCAAATGACAAAAGGAGAGCAAGCCAGAGGAGAGAGACAGGGGGAAGACGTATGTGTGTGCAGGGATGACAGAGAGAAAGATAGATATGGAGAGAGTGTGACTGTTCCTATATGGGTGAGAAGAAGAAGACAGAGACAGATAATGAAGACAGAAACAGGAGTGAGTGATGAACACACTGGACGCAAATGTAAAATCCCAAAGAAAGGGATGTTTATGAGAGTCTTACAAGCATCATGAAGCGATAGAACCAATGACTAAGGCTTCAGCGTGGCGCACACAAATATGTCAGTATGCATGTGTGTGTGCTCATCTCTCACTTGGCTGCATCCTTGCGCAGCTGCTCATGCCTCATGAGGAGCTGCTTCCTCTCCCTGAAGGCCTTGCGGACGGTGTAGCCCTTGTAGACAGCCTGTATGGAGGCAGCAGCGATGTCCTGGATGGCTGCTATGGACAGAGCACCGTGCTCCAGCATGAACTGAGTCACCTCGCTGTGCCCCCCCAGCAGAGCGTAGTCCAGAGGGGTGTACCTGCAAAACACCAGTGTTATTCATAAATCTGTTTTCCCCACTTCTAGAACGCTGTCTCCTCACCCCTTTCTCCTCCTCCTTCTTGACCGGCTCTGTCCTCACCTCTCCTCGGTGTGCTCCATGTGATTAGGGAAGGCATTGTAGCCCAGTAGCAGTTTCACAGCGTCCAGGTAGCCATTGTTACATGACCAGTGGAGAGCAGTCCGCCCCTGTGCGTCCATAACAAAGAGCAATCATTCAAACTGTAGTAAGCTCAGATAACAAGATTTGTCGATTGGGCGTACAAGCAAATTTTTTACCTCCTTGTCCTGTATGTTTGGATCAGCATTGTTCTCCATGAGAACAGCCATGCAGGTGATGTAGCCGCCGTAAGCAGCACACTGCAGAGGAGTCCGTCCTGCCTGGTCCTGCTCAGAAGACGCCACATATTTAACAATTAACAGAGTCGCTCAGGATGACACTGGCTTGCTCATAAAGCAGTGCAGAGGAAGATTTAATTCCCATATTAAATACACACAGGACAAACATACAATCCTTTTTTAGTGGATAGAAAGCCGTCCACTTTGTAGAGAAAGCTAACATGATGCTACAGCTGCATATCACAGCAAATATGAGTGTCTATTTAAAAACACACATATATATATATATATACACATGTAGTTAGAGCTGCACATCCCAGAGAAACATAGGGGTGGACTCTGAAAATGAAACTTCCCTTTATTGTCTATGTAAATATGAATAATGATAATTAAACGATTATTATTATTAAATGATTATTTGATTATGTGCATTCATACCTGTACATTGGGACTAATTCCGTTCTCCATCAGTATCTGGCAGACCTCAGCATTCCCTCCCAGAGCTGCCCAGTGCAGAGCAGTGTGACCGTCCACGTCTACCAGGTCCACACGTGCAGAACCTTTATTCATTACATTTACATTTCAGTTGAGGCGTGTACCTGACACACAGAATGGGTAGTTATTGCAATGTGTGCACACGTGTAACAGTTGCACCCACCTTTGATGAGTGTGAGAATGACGTCTCTGTGTCCCATCTCGCAAGCGCGGAACAGCGGCGCGTGTTTCATCACATCCAGAGAGTCGACCATCGCTCCCCTCTCCAACAGCAGCTTCACTGTGCTCACATGGCCCGACAGGGAGGCCGCATGGAGTGCTGTGTGAACATCCACACATACACACACATAAAAGAAAGAAAGAAAAACCTGAGATAAGATCGCAGCTCTAACTGGGCAATAAACACCCTCACTGATCCTTCCTTGTCTGCCTCTTTTTTGTTCATTCATCCCCTTGACTGCAGCTCCTCTCTGGGCTGTGGCTAAAGTCTGGTCAATGGAGGGTTAAACAGACATTTAATGAGGAGCAATACTCTTAAGCTTCCTCATAGCTACCCCTCCTTCCCCTCTCTCCAGTCCCCAGACAGTACAGACTCGAGTCAAGTGTAGGAAAGTGATCTGGGCACCAGTCAGCTCCACTGCCCTTCACACCGTCTCATTAGCATGACTCAACCGTTGCATTTTATGCATGCATAAACAATGACTGGCTGAGCAAAGGGGCCATTGCCATGGAGATTATACATCCAAAGAGCGCCAGGGGTCAGAGCGTGGCAGTAAGTCATGTATGTCTGCGTGTGTGTATGTCAGAGAACAGTGCTGGCAGTGGTGGGAGTCTATTCAGTGAGCTCACACTAATTTTGCTGACAGTATCACCTTCCTCTCTCACTTAGTCTCACAGTCTCTCTAGCACCTTGGGGGGAATCCCCTGTGACATCATCATCCCTAGCCTAAAACAAGCAGCAGGCCGCACTTTGAAAAAACAAACAAGGATAAAAGTGTGTGTTTGTGTGTGTGTGTTTACAGTATCATTGACCAGGGAATTTGTGTCACCATGCCCATGGATGGAGTTGTGGGTCAAAGCAGTTTAGAGGAGCCTCGGTTTCCCCTCTTGTTGCTCAAGTTCTCACCGGTGCCTCCGTACTTGTCGGCCATGTTGATGTCAATGTGAGGGGTGAGGGCCAGCATGGTGCGGATGACATCATCGCTGCCCTTCCCAGCGGCCCACATGAAGGCCGTCCTCCCCTCCAGATCGGGTTCATCCTTCACAGATGGGTGGGACAGGAACACACCCACTGTCTCCTACACACACACACACACACACACACACACACACACACACACAGACAGACAGACAGACAGACAGACAGACAGACAGAATGATTATACAGAAAGAAGATATTTTAATATTTTTATAAAATTAAATAAGGATCCCACACACTAAACAATCAAGCTTCCATTCTCAGAAAATATACATATACATACAGGATGAGAAGGCTTTATTTAATTATTATCAATATTTTTTTTTGGATAAAGGTGCATGATGCTGACTCAGCAGGTTTTCCACCTTTATGTTAAATGTATATGACTCACAGCATTGTTGCTCTGAGCACCATAGTGCAGCGGTGTTGCTCCTTGGCTGTCTGAGGGAATAGTGCCCGATGTGTTTCTTTCTAACAACAGGTGGACGATTCGGGCATGGCCTGAAAAACACATGTTTACTTTACTGGGATGTGAGGGTGACAGATAAGGACAGGGATATACACAGTAAAGAAGTGGTACAGTTGCTCAGCTATACTGTACTACAAAGGCACCATATATTTTTTACTGTTTACAAAATTGTTAACTGAAAAGCAAAAGACTCCACATAAAGTTAACATAAGTCAACTGTCACTACTTACACAATCACTAACCACTATGTTTGTCTTTGTTTGGTGTTATACAAACAGGTTGTAAGAACCTTAAAGCCAAAGAAACAAGACTAAAAGTCTACAGCCGGGATAGCGGATCTGTGAAACTGCACTTGGGCGCATAGTGTGTGCTTTGAGCATGCTCCCAAAGACATTTTTAATGTCCTAATATTAAGTGGGTATAGTGTTAGTTCAGCATGTTAGCATGCTAACATTTATAAATTAGCACTAGACACAAAGTACAGCTGATGCGAATGTCACATAGGACTACCATTATCAAAGTCAGTATAATGCATACTGTGGGTACCATGAATGTCTGTACAACATTTCATGGCAGTTCATCTGATAGTTGTTGAGATATTTCCGCCTGGACTGGTGGTGAACCAACAGTCAGACCAACACTGCCATCCCTAGAGCCATGCCGCCAGCTTTGCTAAAAATAAATAAATCACATCTTATCATGCGGATAATAACTATTGCATTTTGGATTTGATTCAGCTAACCAGTGTAAAAAAATCAAATTAGAATTTTGTTTGGGGGGAAATATGGTCATAATTTCCACATTCCCTGAAATCCCTCTTTTCAGTGTGTAGTTGTCATTCAGGCAGCAGCAGGTCACAAACAGGATGTGTGTTCACCCACCGAGCAGAGCTGCCCAGTGCAGCGGCGTTCTGAAGAGGTTATCATAAGCTGTCACATTACAGCCCTCGTAAGACGTCAGCACCTCCACCACTGCCTCGTTACCGTCGGCAACCGCAAAGTGCAGGGGAGTCCGCCCTTCGTAGTCCTGCCAGTTCAACAGGGACTCGGTGGGAGCTGCCTCCTTCACATGTGCACACACACACACATACACAAGACAACCGCAGAAAAGAAAAAGACATGCAGCTTGATGGATGAGGATGGGTGACGACGATGATGACAAATTCACTTGAGAGTGTGTGTGCGTGCACAATAATGTGTACCAGTATACAGCGGACAGTTTGTGTAGCACTGGGCTCCTGACTGTGCGCTGCCCAGTGCAGAGGGATCTTGCCCTCACTGTCTGGGATGCCAATGTTGGAATCGTGCTTGATCAGAAGGCGAACGTGTTCTGGCCGGTTATAAAACGCTGACCAATGGAGAGCGGTTTGCTGTACAGAGATAAAAGAGAGAGAGAGAGAGAGAGAGAGAGAGAGAGAGAGAGAGAGAGAGAGAGAGAGAGAGAGAGAGAGAGAGAGAGATGAAAATAAATAGACAAAGATGATGAATGGAGTTAAAAACAGAGGGAGCCGTTGTAACACCAGGTTTGAAGTTTCAATTTACATTTTAAAAATTACTCCACTTTGATATGGGCAGGAAATAAGGGGGCAACATGCTGCACAAAGCTCATATTGAAGATCCAGCAATGAGCTTAGATATTAACCCAGATACTGCCTCCATGACGGCTACTGAGCTATTCAGAGATTTGCTGAAACCACTGTCATCTGACATGATGATGCATATTGGATTATTACAAAAGTAACTACTGATGTCAGATACACATCAGCTCCAACAGACAGAGAAGACTGTGTGTTTGTGGGCTTATCAGCAGAACACAGGACAAAGCCACAGATTGTTTAATCGTTCACTGCTGTGTGAGTGGGCCTCTCAGAATTTATGTGTGTATGACCTCAAATTCCTGCTGCTTCTAAGGAACTATCCTCAGTCAGTCTGTTATCTCTTTGCAGGTTATTGGTCTGACGCCCAGACGGACTGGTTTGTGACTGAGGACAAACTATGGACAGTTGAGAAGACAAACAATCTTCCAAGAACTTATTTGTGTGTAACTGTACTGCAGTACCTTGTTCTTGTCTTGTGTGTCAACCTCTCCAGGTCCAATGTGTTTGAGGAGCAGGGCGAGGGCTTTTGGGGAGGGGTGTCGGGTGGCCAGGTGGAGCGGGGTCATCTCCTCTAAATCTTTTTGCAGCCAGTTAGCACGCCGGGACAGCAGCAGCTTCAGGAAACGTAGATTCCCCTGCGACACACACACAGCCGCAGTAAAAATTAACTCAGAAATCACCAATTCTCCTCAATATTAGTCATGAACCAGCTGCAATGACACACACACTCCCACACACACTGACTCCCCAAGCTTTTAGCTGTGTCTGGTTCAATCCGCAGGTCATCCATCTTCGTTCGCTCCTCCTGCCTCTCGGTTAAGCGTCCGTGATGAGGTGTTAAACAGTAAACAGCGTTTCTGTGGCCTGACAGAGCAGCCGCTCTGTCGTCCCTTCCACATCATCATCATCATCATCATCATCATCATCATCCTAAAGATTGGTCTCAGCCTCTCACTACCGGGCCGCTGGGCAAAGTATTTTGCAACGGCGTTCGGCAGGCATGACCGTGTACACGTGTCTTTTGTATATTTGCCATCCTGTGACCACAAAGCCACAGACTGACAGATCTATCTTGTGTGTGAGCATGCATCTAGACTGTGAGTGTGTGTGTGTGTGTGTGTTCCCGTCTTCCCTATTCTCAGTCCAATTAGATCGGTAATCCCTGGCCTCTTTCCCTGTCTCAGCCATTTATTGATCAGATGTCAAAGAGACAGGGCTTCCCATCACTTGCATCCCCCAACACACACACACACACACACACACACACACACACACACACACACACACACACACACACACACACACACACACACACACACACACACACACACACTCCCCATTTATGAGACAGACCTCAATAACCTATTACCTCCCTCTTTTTTCAATGATATGATGATCCTGTATCAGTACACTCCCATTAAAGATGGGCACCAACAAATAGAGAGATATATTATGATGTTTAGGACCCCTGGAAGACTTTTAATGGGGATCCTTAAATAAACATTAAACTGAGATGTAAAGAGATATAATTAGTACCACAGCCAACCGTTCCCCTGCTAAACCCTCTAGAGAGGACACACCACCCTGTCTAGAGGTGTTCTCATTACCATTGCCTCCTCTGACTGTCCCTCAGTGTATACTGAAAAAAGAACTTTGTGAAGTAAAAGGAACATTATGCTCCTCTGCTTTCATAGGTTTCGCTTACTCCATGCAGAATAATTCTTTATTTAAAAGAGTCTGTGTAAGCGAAACTAATAGCTATAATGTCTGTGTGGCAGGATTATAAATCAGTTGATGCCCCCCACCCTCCCTCCCTCCCACCACAGGCCCTAAGGCCATAACTACAGCCACTAGGGGGCACTGGCTTCCCACTGGAGCTTATGTACTGTCAAACTTTCTCTCTTCTTTGTGAGATCATCATATTCATTCCACCTTTAGAAATCCATCCACTTATCAATTGTTGTGAAATAACTTTGTCAACTTAGTGCCACAAAACGAGCTGACACATGTGTAACAGTCAAAAACTGTGTGCTCCAGTTTTCTATGTCTATGTATTCGTGGATGTCCATACCTTCTGCGCGGCGAGGTGCAGAGCGGTGCGCTGGCTGTGGTCAGTCTTGTTGACCGAGGCTCCTGCCTTCAACAAAATCTCTGCACAGTCCAGGCGGTCAGCCAGCACACAGTACATCAAAGGGGTCCGGCCAAACTGGTCCTCACGGTCCCGCAGCGAGGGATCTGCTATATTATACCAACACATGTAAGAGAAGCACAGTTGAAGGTTTAAGCCAGAGGGTAATAGAGAAGATTTGGGTCAATGCGTTGAATTTTCAGTTCAACATATAAAAAGAAAGTACAATTATGTGGCTTATGATGGAATATGTTATAAACTGTTTTTAAAAGGCAACTCCTTTTACTGCTTCAGTTTAATAGGAATTCCACTTCCACTTTTCTAAATAAGTCAGAGCAGCTGGAAGTCATAAGTAAATACTGTAACACTGGTAACCTAGAAGGCCACGTTGCCTCCTTACGAACAGTAAGAGAAGTTGCATTAATCATTAGATGCCCTTCATATATTTAATGCCAGATCTTTGTTTTCTATGCTTGAGCAAGACTCAATTTTCTGCATATTCAAATTTAAATATCCAGATGATGTCAGCTGTTTTGTAGAAGGGTGGACCATCCTTAGGCAGATGGATATCGGCTCTGCTTGCTGTACAAAACCCAAAACTCCTATAAACTGCTGCATGCTGACCTCTCAACAGATGTGGCAAATGCAAACAAAAAGTGCCTTAAACGAATCAATAAAGCAGCACATTACTACATATTAATGTGAACTGAACACCTGGTGGTGGTTTCAAATTCAGCAAAGATGTAGTGAATAAACCTGAGTGCTACTTGCCTGTGATGAGTTTGAGGAGGGCGCTCCTATCTCCATTGACAGCTGCAGCATGAACCTGCGAGCCCAGAGACGCAGGTCCTGGGCTAGACGTTGCTGAGGCCTACAACACAAACAGACAGAAGGTCATAATTCAACCTGCAGCAACATACACTCAGCTTACTTATCAAGTGTTAAATACTGTGACATTAAGCCGAGTCTAGACAGTTTCCTTACCATTCATTTAGCTGCCAGCACACCCAACAACTGGACATAGTTACATTTAAGGAGTTCATGCATAATACCATATTATCCGCTATAATAAGCCATGTTTAAATAGCTCCTACTAAAAAGGTGAAACTGGGAATCTCAAAATCACTTCCAGTCACCACATAAAACATAAAAGAAATATTAGTGAACTACCATATCCACAGACACCATTTAAATTTTTTAATAGTTACAATTTAGTTTACATTTATACCTCAAGATCAAGCTGTTAGTTTAAGCTCTTCTGTAGCCTAAATTAATTGATAGAGCCATAGAGGAGCAAACATGGAAGCATTATCCTTAAACATCGATCATATTTCAGGCAGATAACAAACACCTGAAGCTCTGTTGGCAGTCAACCACACAATAAAACAGATACTTTCCGATGTTTGTTTACAGTAGGGAGTGTGTGCACGCCTGTATGTGTGTATGTGTGTGTCTGCTCCTGCTGAGGGGGCTAAATCTCTTCCTGGCCCCACTTAACCAGAGCCCAGTGAAAGCTGGGTAATCTGCAGACAGGAAGCAGCTGGGGAGGGGGAGACCCTGTGTGAGCGTGTAAGAGGGGGGTCTCTCTTCATGTCTTATTCATGTCTCATTAATACTGCAGCATGCATGCTGTGTGTGTGTGCGTGCGTGCATGTGTGTGTGGGGGTTTAGAGATGTGGGACAAGCCCTGCGGGGCACAACACAGAAATCAATTATTGCCCCTAAACACATAAACGCTGGAGGCACAAACTCATGCCACAATCTGAGATTTCTACAAGACATTTTTATTAACTCCCGCACAAATAGATCTGATTCACTACTTCTGAAACTTACTGTATAAAAAGGGTTTTATACCATACAACTGATAGGTAATATTGATTAAGTATGGGCTGGTTACTCCAGTCATAGTCTTTTTAAACTTTTAAACTCTTGAAAGAAATCTCAATGATCTGAAGGGAGGAGGGAATACTATGGTGTCCTCCATCCTTCCTTCTCATCCCCCTTTCCCTCCCCGCCGTCACCTCATAAAGTGTGCTCCTGTAGACACTGCGTGCAGCATGGCAATTACCCATCATGCTCGCTGCTTTCTCACGCTCTGCCAAGTAGTGGCGGAGACTTAATACAGGTTAGTTAATACATTTACTGCAAAGTAGGTAAGAGTGGATGGGAGGGAGAGATGTTAGGTGTGTGTGAGCGTCGGTGTGTGTGTGTGTTTGGCACATGTGCCACGTCATGGGAAGTGATTTTCCGTGAGAGAGAGTTTTTACAGGAGCTTTACCAAAATCAACCACAAACATCTCTAAACATCTCTAATTTACAATGATTACTCAGTCAGTAATGCACGTGCATGCGCACATACACACACACACACACAGTCTGCAAATACTAATATCTAACATATGCAGAAATACTAGAGATGCCATAGACGCACTTTCAGAGTAGAATCATGATTTTGATGTTAAAATCCTCCCCCACAGACGACTAAATGAGATCTGATATTCACTGTCCTTCAATCAAGAGCTCATTCCAAACTTTTGCTTTACTTTTGTTGACTTACTCTGATCTTTTTCTGCTTTTTAGGAGTCAATATGAAAGCCCCCAGCTGCCACAATAAAAATATGAATTGATTTATGAATAATCTTAGATTTTGGCCAAACACTGACAAGAGGGACACAAGTCGATATTTGAATCTATGTGAGGGACATTCATATCGCCAAGAGCAGGCAATTAGAGTTTCATGAGGATCTGAGTGTTTTGGAAACACCTACAGTGCATCCAAATTTGGCTAAAAAGGCTTTTGCAATGCCGTGTCTGAAATCAAACAAAGGAGGGTGTAAAAACAACACCAGGTCCTGTTGAGAGGTTTGGAGTGGTCTCATTTAGCCATTCATACGTGTTCCTCGGGGAGCGCACCACTTGTTAATATGAAGACAATAACTCAGAGTAAACTATTGATCATGGGCTGAGGTCCAGACCAAGTGATTGTGCATCTGTATAAGTATTGATTCATGCTGATGCTGACATTATTTAGTCTTTATTCATATTCGGCCTCATATAACTGAAGTGAGTTTAACAAAGAATCCACACACTCCCACAAAACCTTTCAGCAACACTACAGGAGTGCTGTGCACATACACACTGCTGCCTCCTTACACACACACACACACACACACACACACACACACACACACACACACACACACACACACACACACACACACACACACACACACACCACACACTGGACGCGTAGTGTAACTAACACTTCAATTGATACTATTGAGACAGACAGGCAAAGAAACCAGGGAGTCAAAGTGTGTGTGTGCATATTTGTGTACAGTGTGTTTGTCTATATGTTTCTCTAGCTGTCTGTCACTGTGAAGGCGTCTGCTTTTGATAGAGGACATGGCTAGGGCATGCTGGGTAAGCAGTGGGGAACAGAGCCTGAGCCTGTGGCCTTTATTTCAATTCTAGACAGGTGCACACACACACACACACACACACACACACACACACACACACACACACACACACACACACACACACACACACACACACACACACACACACACACACACACACTTTTTGTGTAACTTTATACAGTTTATACTGGTATAGTGTGTTTAGGCTCTTTGCCAACATGGGGCTATTACAGGTGCTTGTACCACCTACATGTTTCTGTGTGTGTGTCTGTGTGTGCGCGTGTGTATCTACGTCTCAAATAGGAGATAGAGGCTGCAGGGATCAGTCCCTGGGTTTTGACTGACAGGTAAAGAGGTGGGAGGAAGGATAATATCAACCCACAGGGATGCCCAATCTGTAAAGCCCTATTTCTGGGGGACTTCCTGGTTCCCCAAGGACCAATGAGCTGGCTCCCTCAGCTGGGGGCCGAGCCCTGGGGCACAGCGGGGCCAATCAGCAGAAGGGGAGAAGGCTGAGTGACACACAGATCTGCTAATTTACATCATTACCACAATGCATCCTGACAAATGAGCCCCCAGGGTGTGAGCCAATCACCTGGGAGAGTAATGCAATTAGGCGGGACCACAGCTGTCAATCTTACAGCCACGGGGGTCAGGTAGTGACGCCTGTGGCTAAAACACCCCTGCCTGTCGTTCGCACACACCATCTATACATGTGCACACATATATATGCATATGGAGAGACGTATCACTGGTGCAGATAAGTGTAGCACATATAATGTGTGTGTGTGTGTGTGTGTGTGTGTGTGTGTGTGTGTGTGTGTGTGTGTGTGTGTGTGTGTATATAGAGTATGGGACACAGAGGAGGCTGGTTCTCTATCTTTCTCCTGAGGGTGGAGGGTAGGAGGGAGTCAGAAAGGGAGGTGGTGTGTATGACTCGAGGGACACAGAGATTGACTTGTGTCCTCCGAGGACTTACACCTGAGCGCAAGTGTGTGCATATCCGCATACATCGGGGTGTGTTTTTGTGTGTGTTTACATTTGCCCATGTGTCTTCGCCCACTGGGGCCCAGTGTTGTTTATGCTCTGAGTCCAAGCTCTGTGTGAGGACTATGACAACAAAAGGTGGAAGAGGGCGGAACCATAGGGGAGCTAAAACTGGTGCAGAATAGCCCTGCATTTGACTGGCATGTAAGCAAGCGCTGCTGGTAATGAGGCTTATCTTATTCTCATTAGGTGTAGTGATATCATACCGGAGCACTCCACTGAGTCGATAGGGTTCTGCCCAGCACGTTGTTAATGTGTGCGTGTCTGTGTGTCTGTGTGTGTGTGTGTGTGTGTGTGTGTGTGTGTGTGTGTGTGTGTGTGTGTGTGTGTGTGTGTGGGCCAGTCGATGCTACTGTGACTGGCAGACTGTCAGGCGGTGCTGGAGATTAATCAGAGGCACTAATAACACCCATGCCCCGTCTCAAAACACGCTTGCGTACCCCTTCATAGCTTTAGTACCAAACAGGAGGAAGACTGCAAGACTTTATAAAGTAACACCCTGAAAAATGAGCGTACAACTTCTGCAACAGTGAACTGATACAGTCCCTGTCACCTTGCGTGTGTGTTTCAGGCACTGCTTGAGATACTCAGAGAGTTAGGGGAGCTGTGTGTTTTGTGTCATCCCATTATATCACTAATGAGCCGCCCTCAGGAGGGAGGTGGGGGAAGAGACAGCAAGGCGGACAGAAAAAGACAGACGAAGAAAAAGAGTGAGAAGAGGATGGGGAGAGAGCAAGAGGAGGAGGGGGGGGGGGACAGAGACAAGCTTGGGGACTTTTTCCTCTTCTCCCCTCCGTATCCTTTTCCCAACACCTCTGAGTCTAATTGGACTAAAACTGTGATCTAATTAAATGTCCAATTAAAGTGCAGAGAGCAATGTGCCCACCGGCGAATCAGAGTACAGGGACATAATCAGCTGGAAAAACAAACAAAAAAATCAATGGGAGCAATGCGAAATGGAAGAAGATGGAGAAAACAGAAAAGGGAGGAGAGGGCAAAATAGGGTGAGGATGGACAGATGAAAACAGAGTGCAGGGAGAGTGGTATGGGTGTGTGCTGCATGTAGTATGATAGGACACTGTGCATTACATCTTCCTCGTATGTATGGTTATGGACCTACATGGGAGCTCATACTTAGCTTTATCGTCCTTGCAGCTTAGTACAAGACAAAACACAGGCCTGTAACAAAGCCAAAGTTTCTAATTTCCTTCTGACATGTAACAACAGGATTTGACAGGAGCACTAAAAGAAGACCTTAGTATGCCGTGCCTCAATTTGTCAATCTACAAAGAAAAAAATTTGTTGTTTTTAATCAATAAAATCATTATTGATTGACAAGTGCCAATAAATGTTTGTTAAGGTTTCTCCAATGTATCAGTGTAAATTAAACACCTTTGTGGATTTTGACTGTTAGAAGATTCAGTCAATTTAAAGACCTCCTATTTGGCACTGGTAAGTTGTAAAAAGGCATCTGTTGTTATTTTTATAGATTTGTTAAAGAATAATCAATCACTTGATCAAAAAAAAAACCTGATAGGCTGCATTTATCATTAATAAAAATATGAATTTGCAGTCCATCTTCAGTCATAAGTCAGAGTTAAACTTGTGAAGGATGTGGATTCACATATCTCACTTCTGATTTTCACCCATTTAAAAAAAAAAATAATATCAACAATAGCTTAGTATGATACATTGTAATTACAGGACTTAATTCATTTGATGTTACACGCCTTCTTGAAAAAAGTGTTTCAGTTTCCTGTCTCTGTTTCTATCTAGATTACACAATTTGAATTATATTCACACTGCAAGCCTTATCGCTCAATTCTGATTTATTGCTCAGATCTGATTCTTCTTGTTTTTGGGGCTGTTCACATGATTTTTTTAAATGTGGCCCATATCAGATTTTAAACAGGTCATGGTCCCGATACGACCCACATGACAAATGTAGATCTAGAGTGACGTAAAAGTCACATGACACATGATACCAGTATCTGATTTGGAACACATAAAGAATTGAAAAGATCGGATTACATGTGTAAAACCTCCAGTCTGACTAACATATGAGCAAAAAAATCTGATTTGGGCCACTTTTGCAGTGTGAATATATCCTTATATTGTGTGAACTATCATTGTTTTAGTGACACATGTATTAACATGTACTGTATATATATATTATTATACATAATATATTTACATTTGTCATCATCATTATAATTGCATTGGGTTTTTTATTTGTTTTTTGAGTTGGATGTACAAGTTTGTTGTCTAAGTTAGAAATACAATTGAAGATAAAATTGAGTATTATAATAATAATAATAATAATAATAATAATAATAATAACAATAATAATGATAAACACAGTATACAACCCCAACAAGTGATTATTTCATACCTCAGCAGATATCGTGATATATATATGAATACAGGATAAAGATTTTCTGGATACTGTGATAATACTTTCTTGCATTAACAACTTACGAAGGACCTTCTGCTCCTCTTTCTCTCAACCACTGATATTCAGACAGGGGGACAGAGAAATCTTCCTCTGACTCCATCTGTGAGTTGCTCACACACTGTGAACCCCCTATGGACAGCTTTAGCCCATAAAATATTAATGCTGGGATTCAATTCAACATTCCACCTTAATCTCCTTAACAATTAGGCTGTTACAGCACACAATTAGGTTTGTTACACATAGTCTCAATGGTCTTGACTCTGGGGAGAGAATTACGAACCGGTAGTACAGGGGAGATACCTAACAAACCTACAGATAACTGCAGAAAATAAAACTCTGCTGGGTTTTATGTACCTAAATTAAATCGGGAAAGCTGCTCTCTGTGTGTTGGATTCTTACCATATCTGCGTTGAGGGGGACACTTCAGCAGATGTTTCTCAGTTCAGTGCATCCTTCATGGGTGTGGATGCACGTCCAGGTCCCCTACCTGCCCTGATCCTGGCTCCTGCAGGGCCAGAGAAAGAGGATCTCTCACATACTGAGACCAGCCCACCTGTTCACACAAAGTACTGCCAGCATAACACTGCCACTGTACTGATTACAGGCAGAGAGGGAGGATGCCTCAGAGGGACATAATATTTGTGTTAAACAGTCTTCTCATCTAATCTGATGAAGTGCAACTATCTTGTTGAAGCATTAGTCTGGTTTTGAGTTGTGGGCCTTGTGTTTGATTGAGCGGAAGCTAAACACATCATTTCGGTGGATTTTTTGGAGAACGTTTTGCAGAGATTTTGTAGAGTTGTGCACCAGAGCACCACAAGTTTTTTCAAAGTCAACGAGTTTTGTGCTACAAAGTGTGTTATTTTACTAACAAAACGCATTTGTAGATGGTGAAAATGGGCCGAGTAGGGTATTACAAAAAGTGAGCCATAATGATGCAACTCCCCCCTGTTCAGGAGAAATCAGTTATTCATAAACGCACTGAAGAAAGTACAGAGAACAACGTGTGACAGTGGATAAACTGAGTGTAGCGTTAATGATGTTACATTTTAATAAAGCGCTCTTTGTAGTCCTCTCTTCCTAGCTGTGTTATATTTACCGTTGGAGTTCCTTTTCTTTCAGATGAAAATCTCAGGAAAGTTTTCTTCCAAGTAGTCCCGTTGAATCGCCACCGTCTCGGCGACCAAACACTACAACTCCCGTTTACCGTTGTAAAGCAATGGGACGCCATTATTAGAGTTTCCCCCCGTCATCCAGGTCAGCCGTTTGCCCACTCCAAAAAACTACATTACCCATGAAGCCACGCGAATACCATGGAAGTGTCACCCGTTTCCGTGGCCACCGTGAGATTGGTTCGCCGTCGGTTTCCTGCTGCAACACGAAGAGCGGCGTCGAGACAGACTGGGAAGACTCAACACCACCACCTCCAATAACTATACTGTACAATGAAACTCTTAGCAATATCTCCCTCTCTCGACATCCGCTTCGTCACAGTTATACTGCTGGTAAGCGTTTGTATTTCAGCCTTTTGAATACGCACCAGCAACAGTCAGCGGCTCTCTGGCTACAAGAGCAAGCTAACGTTAGCTAAGTAACGTTAGTTAGCCTGCCGCTGGGTAGTTAGCTGCTGGCTAACTGCTGCCGTGAGACGTGGCTTTTTAAAGTGGCTAAGGTGACCAGCGAGCCGGCTCACTCGCTACTGAGTGTGCAGGTATTGAGCAGGTTCATTGGGGGGGGAGGCCTTTTGACCGGGTTTCACCAAGCGACTCCGTAACTAATCAAGTTATCCGGCTGCAATGTCAACTTGTCCGGTAGTGTTGAGTAACGTTAGCTGTGGTGCTGCAACTAAACATGAGCCATTTTATATAACCCGGGTGTTGCTGCTCACATGACGTGCTGTGTGTTTAAAAATGACCCACAATGAGCTGAAGTTGGACTCCTGATAACTTTGTTGGGGTGAAGCATCCAGCTAGCATTAGGTGCTAACACATATTGACAGCAGTGGGAGGATTGCGAAGTGCTGGCATGGTTAGTTTAAGAGGTTTGTTTACTGGATATGTTGGTCTGCTGTGTTTGATTAAGCTTCATGTTTGTTATTGTACGGATGCATGAATTTATTGTCGGACTCTTCGTGGATGTGTTTCTGAATGAGGCTCGCCGGTTGGTGAATTCCTCTGTTGTGGCTCATTCTTATTGGCTGAGAAACCCGGAAGAAGACGCCGCACACCAGTTCTGCTTTTGTGAGAGTTTGGGCCTGAAATGAAAACTTAAATCTACTCTGAAGAGCTGCAGGGCACTATGTTCATTGGTCTAACCACAGCAACTGTGGCGTTTTATATCAGTCTGCAGCTGTGTCATTCTGTCGTTATATGGTCAAAAGGCACAGTGACTTGAACTTTCAAAGGGAATCAGGAAGTATTTTTATAGAGCTGAAAGGATGACTAGTCTATTGAGTGTTTTTATAATAAATATAATTGTTGAAGTGATTTTTCATGCATATATACTAAGCATTCACTGGTCCCAGCTTCTCTAATTTGAGGATCTACTGCCGGTCACATGTCTTTGTACGTTGAAATGCGTTTGGTTTTGGAATTTATTTGGATAAAATAAGAAACTCTAAGACATCACCTTTGTCACTGAGATTGCAAAGACTTAATCGATAATAGAAATAATAGTTAGTTGCTCTTGCATTCTTTCCTAGAGTCCGTAGTGATATTTGTGTTACTAACAGCCTCAAGGAGGGTGAATGTCATATATCCTGTTTGAGGAGGAGCTTGAGTCAACACAGATCACAACAGATAGTGCAAGCAATGTAATGTTAGAGAAGTGGTGGCTGACAATTGAAACCTTACTGAAATAATTTTGTTAAAGTTTTATAATGTAGTCTTCTTTAGTCTTCTGTCATGATGTATGCATTTTTTAAAAACAAGTTAATTCAGGCTACATTTTATCCGCAACTGTGTTTTTGGTTGGCAGTCAGCAACTCTCCGACATTCGTGTTTTTTCCCCCGTGTCAGCCCCCGGTGGAGGTCATTTTCAGAGCTGGAATTCAGAAATCCCAAGTTTATCCATTATAATTACAACCTTATTCTTTCTTGTGTGGTACCAGGAAGTTACACAGAGAAAAATGGCTGCAATATTTTAGTTTCTAATTATAAAATCCTACTTTCCAAGCAACAGCTGATGTTATATTAGATATATTTGATGATGTAGATTTTTTTTTTTTACTATGATGAGAGCAGCAGTAGTTTACTTTTTTACTTTTACCATAGAGGTCATTTTGTGGATGTAGGGTCATACAATGATTAAAATGTGCATTCAGTGATTTTTGATTGCATGATGTGGAATTGTTGTATCTCTTGAGCATCCAGTCCAAGGTGCAACTTGCAATTTATTTGTAATCCCACAATCTTTGGTATGTTAGATGAAAAAAGGAACTGAAACAATATACACAAGCACAGAATAGGGCTGCAAGATTAATTTAAATATTATGAAAATGGCTATATGGCCAAGTGCAATTTCCAAATTGCAGAAGCTGCAGCTTTTTGTAAATGTGTGACAGAACAGTATTATAATGAAGTACTGAAGTACTGTAGTATTGTAGAGATGCACTGGCCTATAAATCCTGTTCTCCAGCTGTAAGAAAACATATTTGCTTGGTACAGACCCCCAAAAATTTTAATGGATTTTTTTCAGTGAAAAGGAAAAATGTTGATGCAACAATGATCATTCCCACTAATTGTGACTCTTATCGTTATCATAAAAGCTGTCAAAATAATCGCAACATTATTTTGGTTTATTACCATATCGTAACTCTATTACAGAAAATGAAGCCTTAGGGATTAATCTCACTCTCTATGGTTTGTAGAGTTGAATGATCCAGGTGGAGCTTATAATCAGTGTTGCTGATTAATTTATAAATGTCACCTTTTGTGAATATGTAGACTCAGCACACAGTAAAAGCGGATGCTGCTTCATTGTTCCAAGTTGTTTCCACACCTTGCAAAGTTAAAAATACTGTGTTTGGAAACTTTATTAAAAGAGAGAGGTACGCATATTCTAAAAAAACACAAACAGGAAATATGAAGAGATAAAAAAGCATCACATTTAGTCTGATCAAGATGTATAATGCACACATTCTTTCCATCTTAACATTCTGGGACATCCAGACCATTACCATAAACATTTACCAGTAGTTTATTTGCTTATGTGCTATTTTTTGTGTCCATGTGAATGTGAATCTGTATGAAACTCCAGTCCACATTTACTTGCACACAAGACACCAGGTTACAAGGAAAAATCGGATTATGCAGGAAATCATGAGAGCATGATTTGCATGTTGCTTTGCATGCATAGACAGGCCAAAGGTAACATTGTGTAGTGTATATTTAGTACTTGAAACAACTGACCAGGAGACGAGCCTGGAGCAGACCCAGAAAACACTGGAGAGATTACACCTCTCAGGTGTTCTGGGACACACTGGGCGTCCCACAGGAGGGATTGCAGAGGTTACTGATTAAAAGGACGCCTTGGCTGCTCTGCTCACCCACTCCTCATTACAAACATGATTATTATTATTATTTATGCAGCCAGAAATATAAAAAAAAAATATAGCTTTCACTATATCCTGCATTGTTGCATGAAGCAGTACCATAGCGCGTTACGTGTGCTAAGTCAGGTTTAGTATGGTCTATAGTTTCCACTGTGAGTTTGTGTTCAGTTGAGTCAGTCTGTAGATATGTTGGTTAACTGTGTGCTGACAGGCTCGTTGGGTCACTCATTCTTTTCAGTCCTGAATTTCCCCTTTGTGGATCAATAAAGGCATTTTTTAATCTTAGTCAACTATCTTCAGGATAATTTTCCCTATCCCCCACATAGTTGTCTTGTGTATTTTTGTATGTTTTATTTGCTGATGTATTTCTTCCTCTATGTGTCTGTAGGCGATGGGCCTCTCTACTCCGGGACAAGCAGAAATCACCAGTCTGGACTCAGGCAACATTGATGACGTCCTAAGTAAGGCATAACACTTTAGTCTTCAAAGGTTTCTCAAAAGAAAAGTTAGACATTTTGGGAAACAGACTCATTTGCTTTCTTGCTGAGAGTTAGATGAGAAGATCAATACCTCTCTTGTCTGTTTATTCAATATGAAGATATCCAGCCAACGGCTGGTGGGTTAAGCTTGGCATAAAGACTGGAAACCGCTTATTTCCTTTATTTAATTTCTTTCTTGCCTGATTATTGGCAAGGAAGCAAATAATCATATTTCCTGGAATGTCAAATTATCACTTTAATACTCTTAACTCTACTTTTCAGATCTTTGTTGTTCTCTATTTTCTCTCAGCAGAGAGATGTTAATTTTTCCATCTTGTGTTTTCAGTCCACTTTGTCAGACTGTTTTCATGTCTCTGTTAGTTAGCCGGATATCACAAAAATGACTTAATAGACTTCAGGAAAATGTTGTGGCCAAGGAAGAACGTGGCCATTACGCAATTAGTTGTTAATGTGAATAGCACGATTAAACCTTATGTATTTTATGACTCCTGAGCTGTGAGTTGGAAAGGCAAAGTTTTGTTTTTCTGGATTCCTTCCAACGAATATCTTCATATTGGCTACACCCGCTGCTGCCTTCTCAGATTGTTCACCCCCCCCCCCACAAACTCGTCCAATGTTCAACAGATTTGGCCACTAAAATATTTACAAAACCTGGAAAGAAAGTTATTAATTTGTTCCATACTGTTTTCTTGAAATTGTTTCCAATTGTTGCCACATTATTGCAGGCCATTGGCCCTTGGCTTACCTTTTCACCAAATAAACATTTAATGTGATTTGAACACTAGGTGGTATTATCAATAAATGTAAATGGCCATGAGTCACTGGTCATAAATTTGTTAGTCTGTAATTGCTTTCTTGTTTTGTTTTTTTCCTTCAGTAACAGAAAACTGAGGGGTTTAAAAGATTGATTACCCTAATTAATTAATTTTAGCTAGCAAAACACATATTCACAAGTATTTTGAGTGATGTATAGAGGCTTCTATTAATTTCTTGTTTGTGTTTCCTTGCAGATAATGCTGGGGTGGCATTAGTGAATTTTTATGCAGACTGGTAAGTGTGTTGTTTTTCTCCCACAGTCACTGGACCTCTGTATATATTATGTGAAGGATATTTAAATTTAATTTAGCTCATGATGCAGATGTTTCCTGTGAATGCCACATGGCGCAATAAGTATAATTAGATTGCTGTCATCCGCAGTAGA